CGTGACCACCCCTCTTTAGCGTGACCACCCCTCTTTAGCGTGACCACCCCTCCTTTGCGTGACCACCCCTCCTTAGTGTGACCATCCCTCCTAAGTGTGCTGACCCTAAAAAGTTTGGCCCCTATATCAGCATCTAAATAGGTGATGTTCAGGCAGCCCAACATCATCCTTCTCAGCTAAGGCTTGCCATCTGGATGAGGTGGGGTGATGTTGTTAATGTTGTTATACCTCCATCGCCATCTGTATACCAAATGTCTACGTTTGTGGTCCTTATAATAACACCTCTGCTGAGCACAAGTGAACAGCTGAACCACTCATGGAGCTTCTCTGTAAGGAAGCGTGCAAACACAAATCACAGCACGTGCAAACACAAATCACAGCACGTGCAAACACAAATCACAGCACGTTTTATATTTTTTACAGATGCTGGTTGCTTACAGTGTTGTTTTTGTGCTTGGCCGTCTCTTCATTTTCAGACATGGCCCTCTAATAATCAAACAAAAATGCTGATAGTTCTTCACTGCTTAAGCTGCAGACTAGACTGCTTTCACAGTGCTAATTATCCAAAGGCTTAGCTTATGCTTCCTTGTAATACACCTATTCAGCATATTGCAAATTATAAACTTGCTGCTTTTTTTCACCCACTTGAAAACACCTCATGGTAAATCTCTGGTAGATCCTGCATAATCCTAAGAGAATGAAGAGACGTTCAGAAAAGCAAGCAGTACAAATATTTTACACATTTTCACTTTTTTCTCTTGTTTACATCTTCAGCCATTAATGTAGGCTGCCCATTAAACGTTAGTCATCTTATGTGGATTTAGCTTTTAAGAGCATTTAACGATTCCCACTGATCGCAAAAAGATTCAATTTTCACAGGCGTGCACAAAGGATTTAATGAAGCAGCATAATGAGCGTTTTACAATGCATGCTTGGTATAGCACAGCAATAATAAGACCTCAGCTTACCCCTTTATGCGCTTGTCTCACTCTCTCGCGCTTCAGGTGTTTGCGTTTCCCTGCATGGTAACGAGGCTCTAAACATGCACCAGCGATGCGCACGTTTGAAATGCTGCATGGCGGTTCTGAGCAGTCTCCGTGCCGATTCAGTGCTGACATATCAGGTCTTAACTGTTATGCTACACACACAAGTGGTAATAACAGATTTCTAAACCCTGGGGAGAGATCAACATCCTGGGATGGCATAACTCTTATGGGCGCCCGTCCGGCTGCATGCCGTGTGCTGACATTTGCTATCTGCCTGCTTGAGTAAATCTGCTTTGCCAGTTTAGCCTGAAGGGCGGCGTTGTGACATATCGGGGTCCTGGGGCCATATTAGACTAATTGTTCGTCTGCTCAGGAATCTGGCGAGTGTCTTATGTTACTCCATTATACTGATCGGCCGAAGGCGGGGAACAGACTACGACTCCCCCCATGAGCGACACTGCCCTGTCAGGGATCGTGCGCTCCTCCTCCCTGACCTCCTTCTGGAGCTCACTCACGTCTACCTCCTCTTTTTCCTTGGCTGATCCGTTAATGGTGGGAGCGAGATCCCAGTTTCACCTGCTGACCGAGCGAACAGACGGGTGCAAAAGCAAGACAGCGGTCATTTTGAAAAGTAGCTGTGGGCGGGACTATACCTCCTGAATAAAATTCACAAAGAGGCCTTTCGCCTTTAGGGGGCGATATAATCCAGCTCCATGTGCATTTGGCCTATATGTGTGAAGTGACTGCAGAATATGGCTTTTCCCTTCTTCATATTCTCAGGCTGCAGTCAATCATTTTGACAGGAATTCAGATTAAAAGAAGAGAGAAATTTTTGGGTCAGAGCACAGGGTCTGCCAGCTTCCACCATAGCTACTGGGGCTGGGGGCTTTGCTCAAGGGCCCAATGGTGACATCATTCTGCAAGCTATGGGATTTGAACTGGCAACCTTCTGACTGGGGGTCATGACCCACAGACCCATACACCACCTCCTGTGTAGTTAATGCTAACTAATAGCTAATGAAATTAAATGATTCTGTACACCGGAATGCTTCTCTTTAACTACCTCATCTCGCTCTCAATGAGACACACAGACACACATGCAGGTGAGAGCAAGCTTGGGGGGGTCGCAGCACAGGGCCGGCCAGCATGCAGTGCCCCTGGAGCTGGGGGTTAATGAGTCATGGAAATGTAACTATTTTGCTGAAGTCGGGGCTCAGTCCAGCGATCTTCCGGGCATAGGCACAGAGACTTGGCCTGCTGATGTAAAAAGCTATGAACTCTGAATAAAATCCCATATTACATATAGTCATATAATTCCTGGTGAAAGTCTGGTTTATTTCCTTTGTCTGATGGCTCTTTCCCACTGGACCCGAGCCGTCCCCAAGCCGTCCCCGAGCCGTACCCGAGCCGTACCGCAAAGTGAGACCACTTTCAGCGAGGTTCCAGCTCGCTTTGGTTTTCCACTGCAGACGGGTCGGCTCAGTAAAGCCATTGCAGAGTTTGGAGAGCGACGGTGATGTAAAACCTTAGAGATGCTTATCTACCGTTCACACAGTGTACATCACAATTGACTATGTTAGCATGTCTGTAAGAATCGGCGTTTTATGCTAGCATCAAATGCTAGTGAAATTAGCATTAGCTTGCGTATGTATTATGAATCCATTCTGTTCAGTGGTTATGTAGTAATTTTTAAAATAAATTTTAAAATTTTCAGGTTCTGAGTTATGGGGAATGCATCAATATATCGTGATGCACAATACTACTAAATCTTACACACCTACAAAAATGCTGTTTCATGAGAGGTCACCTGACGTGCCTTTGGGGTCAATTTGACCCCAGGGTAGGTGTGAGAGCTAATGAATAATACATAGAGTACATGCTTTTTCCTTCAGATAATCTGCGCACAGAACACCGGTATCTCTGTTCATTTCGACCAATCAGATGGCGGTGACGCAACCAGCTCAGTTTCGTCACGCTTTCTCTCCTGCTAGTAAGCAGGGTTGTGTCAGGATGGTTACGGCTGGCATAACGTACAATGGAAAAGCGCCGGTTCGCGGTGCGGCTCGGGTACAGCTCAGTTCTTGGTGGCAGTGAGAGTGCCACAAATGAGCCGCTGCTTCGATAATGACAGCATGATCCTCACATGCTAACAGCATGTTTTCTCATGGGTCGCTGGAGGTTGCGCTAAAGGCTGTGTTCTTGCGTGTTTGGGCAGGACCAGGGACGCTAGCTGAATGATTAGGCGATAAGCATTCTTCCGTTACCACTTTGCTATCACGGAGTCACGGAGGCGTGGCTTAGCGTCACCATGACTACGAAATGCACTGTCTCGGTGTATAAATCAACGTGAGAAGCAGACGATGCCTCGGTCATCACCATCACAAGGTCGATCGCCAAATTTTTTATTACTTACAACAAGGATGACATGGTGGTGTGTCTTGGGTAGCCAAATTAAGTGCATTTTCTAGAGAAAAGTGGCTTCATGGTTCCGTGAGTGCTGTGTGCCGTGGATACGCTCGTTCCCAGGGCGATGAGGCGTAGCAAATCTTCGGCTGTTGCTCGCTAATGCGTTAGCAAGTCTGACCTGTTCGGAATATCCTGCCTGCAATTAGCAAGTCATGGTCTAGAGCTCATGGAGAACAACTTACAATGTCAATGCAATGTTAGCATTAGGGCAAACACTGGGGGGGGGGGTATTTCGTGTGGTTGCTTTGTTGTCCCCGTGACGCGGACTTTGGGGGGCAAACAGCAGCTCTCCCTTCCAAACTGGCCGGTGATTTGTTCCCTTCAGAAAATCTCATCACTGTTCTGTCTAGTTATCGAAGTACAAAGCCTATCATGTTTGTTAGAGAAAATTATTTAAAGGCACAATTACGCTTCGGCAAAAGCTTTATTTTTTTAGCATTGTGCTGTTACTTTGGCCCTTATTGAAAAATGAGTGAGCCCGTTGGTCTGGATGTAGCATAGAGGCTGCTGGGAATTGAGTTTGTGTGATGCGGTCATGGTGAATCACATGTCACAGTGGCAGCTGACCTTGTAAATTCATAGCAAAGATGACATCCTTGTCCCAACACTTCTTTGGATTAGATTCAGCTTCATTGTAATTGTGCCAAGTAGAGGTACACAGCCAATAAAATGTAATGTGCAAAAGTTCTGGTCCTTGTTGATAGACGTTGATCATATCCGCTTCCGGAATGGTCTTTAGGTGTGTTTCTGATGTTCGGTTCGCCCCGTCTTCTCCCTCCATATTTATAGGACAGCTTCCCGGCCCGTTTCGGAGGAATCCACTTCGTCAACCAGCCGTGGTACATCCACGCCCTCTACACGGTCATACGGCCCTTTCTGAAGGACAAGACGAGGAAGCGGGTGAGCAGGCTTCCTTCTCCTGCCTCGCTTTGGCGCTCGACCGGAAAACACCATCAGTTCGGCTCTAGACACACAGCTCTGGAAGTGTCAGATCGAGGCCGTCTTCCAAGGATGCCTGATGAAAGTGCGCGGTCATTTCCAGAGAAAAAATACTCTTGAACTTCAGCAAATTTGTTACAACCACATGGAAGAAATACAGTCAACACATGTATAGGTGGGGATGGTATATATAAGGGTCAATAAGGAAGCAACAAGCCCTGCATCGTGCGTTTTTAAATGCATGACTGTGGAGGCCAAGAAGCACTTTTCTGTTAATTTTTAAATTGTGTTCTCCATCTGGAATTTTATGTAACAATGGTTAGAATTAAACATCATAATAGCGAATTGATTTACTGCTGTGGTTCACCTGGCCGGCATTACGTTGTGCGGTTATAGGAAATTAATCAATGCCCTTCTGACCAATCAGATTTGAGAATTCGGTAGCGCTGTGGTATAACATCCAATAAGACACATGCTAAAAGAACCAAAAAGGTATAATGGGGAACTTAGCAAAAGCCTCTATCAGAGTGAATGAACATAAGTAACCTAACAGCAGGCAAATCCAGTCAACAAGCAGCTTTTATTAGTCTATGCTTTTATCCAAGTCTCGCTAAATTTTATTAAATATTAATAAATACTGATATATTGATATCTATAATGCAGCAAAACTACATCTTTAATGCAATGTAGCTGCTTGGGAGGATCTGTGAATGAGAGGGCGTTAAGATATTTTAAGACATCCATAAATATTCAGGGGCTCTTGTTATATTTGGTTATACTTGAAAAATGGTATCTGGTTATATATTTTGGGCGCTGGTCGTGGCTGAAGGAGTGATGTGCTTTTTTTCTCCCACCGCCCTCGCAGATATTCATGCATGGGAACAACCTGAACAGTCTGCACCAGCTCATCCACCCGGAGATCCTACCCTCTGAGCTGGGGGGCATGTTGCCCCCCTATGACATGAGCACGTGGGCGCGCACGCTGCTGGACCACGCCTATGACGAGGAGTCCGAGTACAGCCCCGAGTCCTACACCCTGTCCGTGAAGGATCTGGAGAAAGACCTGTCACCCAAAACCATGAAGAGGTCAGTGGGGGGGCTCGTAGACCCCTGCAGATGGGAACTTATCCGGGAAGCAGTATGGAAGGTTCACATTTTATGTATCTAGCGAATGCTTTTCTCTACCAATTTTGATTGGGAGGGAGAGAGAAAGCAGGGTTAGCCTGGACCAATGAGAGACTAACAGTCCTCTTTAGCAGCCCAATGAAAAAAAAGCAACTCTGTTGACACTTGAGATTTGAACCCATGACCTTTGAAATAGAATCACTGCAGCCCAATCCATGGAGCCACCCATCACCCCTGAAGCTTGCGGCTAAAATTCTAAGTTAGCACTCTTCACCTACATTGTTATATTACAGTGCATTGGTGCTCAGTACCGTTGTTTATATTCCTGAGGATGGCCCTGCTGGACACCTGGAAAGTTCTAGCTAAAAATGGGAAGGGATGGTTACTGGTTTGAATCCCAGGGCTAGAAGATTGATGCCCCTGTTAGGCTCTGGGGCAGCGTCCTTACAGCTCGATTGCTCCCTGGGGGGCTGTGCAGTGGCCGGCCTGGCGCTGTAACCCCCCCAAGTTTGCTTTCAGCTGCAGATGTGTCTGCGTGTCGCACGGAGAGCAAGTCGGGGGTCGGTGAAAACCCACTTTCCCATTATCTCACTAATCTGCTGCATAAGTTGGAGCAAGAAGCAGCTGCCTTTTGCACGAGGAGCACTCTCTAGTGAGAGCACGCTTGTGAGGGCTCCATTAAAAAGCACGATGATCCTCTTCACAGTGGTGTGGTAGCACCTGCTGAATGTAGTACAAACAAGTCGAATCTGCTTCCCACCACTCAGGCTTGATTTCCCTCAACTCTGCCTTAAATAATTCACCTGCACGTTAAAGAGGTTATTTCTCGTGCTCCATTCCATTTCGGTGCCAGTGTGAAACGTTCCCCCCGCAGATCTGTTTGTTTGCCTTACATTCTGTCGTTTGAAGTCGTCATGATCGGCTTTATAACCCCCCCCCCCGGAGAATAAGATGCTCCAGATTTTTGCGTGATGAGCGACG